CTGCTGAACAATGAGAGGCGTGTTGTGTATCAGCACAGACACATTTTCATCTTTTGTTCAGCAAATGTCCATAACTGTCACAACATGAAATACGGATAATTTCTACCATTATAGTGGTGTACACTGTTACACATTAAGAACAGTGGAACAAACAGCTATTGTCTTTTGTTAGTGGTGCATGTTCATGTACGTGGAGGAATCTGTGTGGATGACTGAGAGACAAAGGAAGTCAGTGTAGAGAGCAACTGCCCTGAATGATCTCAATGTAATCTCTCAATAGTATCTTGTCTTCTCTCTTGCACTAAGCACTGATCCGTTTCCATTGATCAGAGAAAAAAAACCTGTTGCCCCTGACATTTGATTCTTCTATTGATCACTTCCTCCTTTATAGAGTCAAGGAAAAGTACAGCGACTCAACACAGGGTTTAGACAGGTCTTCTGTAATCAGCCTGCTGATCTTCGAAAACCATTTTCCTTACACCTCAAACTACGCTTTGAGATATGAACATATTGATTGCAGCTTTTGTGCCTGATCGGTAGATACTGCATTTAGCTTTTGAGAGTATAAACTAAAAATAAAAACAGAAATATCTAACCTACGTTTCCTGAAGATGTCTAATATTATTTGTTCAGAGACACTGATGGATTTAAACTTCTGTTTCGTTGGGGGGCAGCACTACTTTGTTGGAGCTGTAAAGTTATAATTAGGTGATTTTCCAGTGAGACACATTGTGACCTTTCTGCAGTAATGAAAGTAAGTGGCAATCGCGGTCACATGCGCGGTGGCCATCTCCACACCCCGGGCCTGAGCGTGGCGTTGAGCCGACGGCTTCACAGAGCTTACACAGACCACGTGTCTGTTTCCATTTCGTCTTGCTGCACATCTCTCTGTTCATTGTGCTTCATCATTTTAATGGTGACAGAAATCAGTTATTGGACGGAAACTGTATGACAAGACTTCAATCAGTCTGTCACAATAGTTGCAATGTAGCGAAGACAGCGTGTAAAAGAGGAGAGTCATTCTTATTCGGGGAATGTGCTGAATACACAGAAGTGTGCATTAGAAACACAGGCTTAGACGAAGTCTGCATATAACACTCTGTCTCCTCTGACCTGACACTGGTCGTTCATTTATAGCCACGGCTACATATTTTTGTGGTCTCCTATTCTCCAAGATGATTTATTGGCATAAATTTTTCATCAGATAGTAATGCGATTACTCTGTCTTTCTGGCACTCAGGCTTTATCTGGCTGCGTGCAGTTTAGGGGATTTTGTTACTGTGTTGAGATCCATACAGCCTTTGACTCAGGCTTCAGGTGGCAACTGGATATATATGCATCTATAAATCCCACTCTCCAGTGAATAATGGGAGGAGTAACTGTGGAATATATATAACTCTACAGAGTTTGACAGAAAATTTAAAAGTGTAGGGTTTTACAGAATTTCATTTATGAGGTTTTTTAACTGGCAGAGTAGTTATACCACTGTATAACCATAAGGGCCAATCATATATAAGTGCCGCCTGAAACACACTCATCAGCATTTGAGAAAAGCTAAATAGCAAAAATAAATAACAAACAATAACATGTTTCCTGACAAAGTCCATGAGCTGCTCCCAGAGGAGACTTGAATAAATGACACCACCACTTCACCCCCAAGCCACATATCTTTCATTATTCATGTATCTGGATTTTTTGAAACAGTCAACAAGTGAGAAAGCGGCAGAGAAATGAACAGAGAGGTAGGTGAGACCACATCCACTAATGCAACAGGGCAAGGGAGGACGTATGGGTGTCTCCCCCCCAGAAAAGCAGCCAAGCCTCTGGGTCTCAGGAGGCTCTGTCAGTGGTGATAGGGAGGGGTGGAGAGAAACCCAGCCAGACAAATCCATCGGAAGCATGTTTAATTGTCACTGAATTCCCTGCTGGCGTGACTTTAAAAAACCATCCACAGGAAGAGAGCTGAGATGTTCGGAAAACATTTAGTGGATCAATATGCCGAGGAGAGCTGAGACTGTGCCGAGTGTGTGCTCAGGGACCTGGCCTGAGCCTTTCCAGGCGGAATTCTGTTACATTTCTATTACTCAGACGGCAGGATCAACCTATTCAGCATATTTCTGTCCCCAGCTCAACTGCACATTATTTACTGCTGTGTAGGTAGTGGGAGGACAGTGGGGCTGGGAACCTTTGTCTAGGCTGGCCAGCTGCATGTGTCTCTCACTCTGGGGTGGTAAAAAAAAAAAAAAAAAGTCTGGGACATAACAAAATATCATGAGAGCAAGTGTGTGATGTTGTAGTATTCCACTGGTAGATCCCTTACTGGATCAACTGAGGATTCATTTTTGCATAAAAGTGTTTATATACCAAAATACATAGTGTTGTATATGTAGCTTGCGGGAGCAAGAATAAGAAAAATGTTCTTACTCTTCTTACCTTCTTTGAGCATCCCCACTTTGAGGCATTTCATGAAGCGACAAGCCTGACATGATTTGCGTCTCCGTTTTGTGATCTCACACTCATTTGTGGCAGGACAGCTGTATTCTATGTTACCTGAGAAAAAGAATAAGAAGAACATGTAAGGACCAAAAAACCCATAGTTCATCAGAGCCCAAAGCATTGCAAGTTAAATGATAAAATGGTTGGTATCATGTGAGGTAGGAGCATTTCACCTAATTCACTAAAGAGAATCTAATGCTAAATAGGTTGCTGCCACTAATAAACACCACTGTAGTCTCCGTGCTATCAGACGGTCTATAATAAATCATATTTTGCTAAAACACACACAGGCCCTTGTTAGTTATATGGATTCCTATAGAATCCACATCTGTACTGTTCAGAAATGGACAGAAATGTCCTCAAGCGAGCTCTGTACCTTACAGTACTGAGGAGAAGCTGGGGTTAGAGGTAAAGGGTGGGGGTGGGTTCATGAAGGCAAAGCTGCAATACTCCTTCAGGATCCATCAGTAGACATCACCCTGGTCCAGCACTAAACTGGTCTCATTAATTCTGTGCATGTCCCCTCCGGACCCCGGACACAGGCCATGTCCCCCCTGCGCTCAGAAGAGCCTGCCACTGCTTCAATAGCAGGCTAAAGAGCCAGACACACTGCCCTTGCTCACTTTACATAATACTCGAGCAGACCCAAACCTGTTGTTACCACTGTTGGCTATTTACATAGTGTACAGGCAAGAGGCCTTATGCATTATTCAGCTGCAGCGTCTGATTCCAGGACACAGCAATGAAAAAGAGTTTCATTGCTCCACAATAAAAGAGCTGGTTCTGCTCTACTCTGGCATTAGCAATAGAAAGGGCAGGGTATGTGAGGCAGCTCCTCCGCTTCTGTCTGATTCCCTACATTTTACTGTATTCAGGGGTTTTCAGTAAAGGGTTTCAATGTAATGATTGCTTCAGCCGAATTTGAATTACCCTCATTTTGAAAGGGCTTTGAGCTTTAAAGCTTTTGACATTGGTATTTTTTTAAACTTTTCTTTTAACCTAGGGTTTATGTCTTTGGCAGTTGAGTAAGTGACATAAAAATCTAATTTAATCATTATATGTTTCTTCATCTACTAAAATAACTGGGCTCTCTGTCAAAAATACACATTTACTGTAGCATCCTCTTCAGCAGAGCCAATCCACACAGGTCTGACCCTCGCTCCATATTTCTACATGGAGAAACACAAACCTGTGTAATATTCCACTGGTGTTCCTCCACTAGCCCTCCTTTGACAACTTATGCAATTATGTTAACATTACAAGTGGAGGGTCCCAAGATGTAATAAATTATTAGAAATTCCTCCTTATAACTGGGTTAGAAATCATTGTACTAATCCCCCTCATCTCCTTCAGATTGGGGTAAATAAAGGTGTGAGGGAAGCAGCTGATGAGCTCTGATTGTCTTTCCTCTGTCTGTTTTCTCTGTTGTCAGAGCAGAACCAGACCATAATAATCATCTTTTTCCCACATGTTGGAAGGAGGCAATCAGTGTGACTGAAACTAGATCATGGAGATCTTTTTGGTCTGTCTTTGCGCTACAGACCTACCAATCAGCAAAAAAGTACAGACATAAAGGGCTAAATAATTTTAAAAGAACATAGATTTTGATTGCAAATCTAAAAATGTTTTACTTTTTGTTTTATTCACATCATTGTATCCTTCCAAAACCCAGAAAAATGGCAGCACATGTGCATGTTTTGTTGCAGGTTTGCTTGCACGACCTAACCCAGCACAGTTGACCCTGTGTTTCCCCGAGGACGCTTTGTTTGCGGGGTTATTTCACTCCCTCCTCCTCCTCCCTCTCCCTTCCCTTTCTGAGTGGTGCAGAGGACATGCACAAACCACACCTGATGGCTAACTGAGAGAGTTACAGTAGCACACTCCAAAAAGAAAAACAAACACACTGCTGCGCTGCTGTGTTCACCTGTCCTGTCAGGCCCTCTGTGTGTATGTCACACGGGGGCTTCTCAGAGCTCAGCGCTCAGTGAGTGAGGGGTGGATTAACAAAATTTTCATCTCAACATTTGGTTTATATTTAGGAGAGGCAGTGTTTCATTCTTAGCCTACATATAGAAAGCCCGACTTCTTAACATGCCACTTCTCAGCTGATCCAAAATGACAATAAGCTGTGACATCTATTGTTTTTAAGCATTTAAAAGATGAAAAATCACCTAGAAATGTTAATAGTGAGGGCCCAACGCATGATCAAAATGTAAACAAAAGCTCAAAAGCAGCAAACAATTAGGACCAGATTGAAATGGTCAACTTGTAAACTGATTACAGGATAGTTAATACACACACAAAAACGAAAGAACAGCTAAATTTAAGTTTGTGTAATGCTGTTAAACTTTTCTTTGCATTATCAATGTTTATAACCAAATACTGTAAGTAACAAGCCCAAAATCTTAACTCTGGTTAGTTGTTATCATGCTAAAGTCTTCATTTATAGTAATAAGCAAATTACAGAGTAGTCCTGAAATGTGATTGTTAAATAAAAAAAAAACATTTAATTACAGTTATTTAAATCTATTTATTTAATAGTTTTTAATACTGGAACCTTTCTGGTGTCAAATCAGACATTGTTTTAACTTTATAAATATCTTGTATCTTTCAAATATTTATGCGTGAATAACATTGTTTTATTTATTCTCTCACTAGCCTAAAATGTCCCCAAATTAAATTAATCAAGTTTTTCTTGAATTCAAATTAATTGACTGACGTAAACTAAACTGAAATGAATGAAGCTACAAAGTCCTTGAACAGAAGCTAAACAAAGCGATACATAAATCCTGATTTAAATAGAGGTGTAGAGTAGATCCAAACACTGACATGAAAGAATTGCCTCTATTAAATGTTTTACAATAACCTTACCATCAGAAATGATGTCTGGAAACCCTGGCTGGTAGAGTAACAGTATGTCGAGTTTCACTTTCAGAAATGAAGCACAGTGGCGGGAAACCCTTTAACCTGAGGGGCATGCTGGGGTTTATCTGACTTTAGAGAGGTTATGGTATGGTTACCAATAACATTACAGAGTGAAGGAAGAAGAAAAAGATTTCCCTCCTTCTCCTCTTGATAAGTATCTGTCTCAATCTATTTTATTGCTTTTCAGGACCCATGCCAGGGCACAGAGGGGAAAGTCAGGTCTTGTAAGTAAATTACAGTAAAATGGCAGGTATTTCTCATCAAAATCTAAACTGACTTTTACAGGCTTACTGTCAAGGTCTATTACTTCATATGAAAGGGGGCCACTGAGTTCAGTTAGTTTTCAAGCAATTTTACACATGGGTTCAAAACGGGAAGAAAACACAGTTCAATAAGAGCTTTATGTTTTGATCGGTGGGGCACGTGAAGTGCAGGGGTGGGGGGGATGATTAGGGACCAGTGAGAACAGGGTTATTTCTGGGATGGATGGACTTCCAGGATGACATGAATTTGGGTCTGGCCTTGACTAATGCAGCTATCTTCATGTAAGAGTTCAAGGGGTTTTTACCTGGATGAATAGGTGACAGTAGATGGATATTCCATCTGCTTTTGTTGAAAAGGCAGGGGCATTAGTTGCTGAAGTAGAGGCCAGAGCGCAAGTACAGCGGATTCAAAGATAACAAAGATTATTCAGACAATAAATGCATAAATTTGTTTACTAAATTAAAATATCTGGGGGAAAGGCTTTATCTTAATATCTTAAAAACAGCTACAAATTTCCTATTTAGAATAAGCTGCAGTGTAACAAGAAAATACAGAATTGCACAAGGTGAGTACAAGGTGATAAAGGAACTGTCATGCACATGGTTAACACTAACTTAACGTGTTGTTTGCCCTGAGTGCTGTAGAACAATGTGATAAAGGACTGCAAAAGACAGCTCCTTTGTTTTCTTCTCATTAGAGAGGGCCGTCTCCCACTCCACCCTTGACTGCCTCGTTATTCCTTTAATTAATCAGTTCTCATCAAGGCACCCTCTCTTTCTTTCAAGAGCGCTACAACCTACTATTTACCGCCTGCATTTTCCTCCATGTGTTTCTTTTATCATTTCACAAGGCTTTCACCTCCCCCCCCAAAAAGTCCCTGCATCCCCCTACCATCTCTGCCTGGGACCCCTGTCTGATTATTATGCCATTAAGCCTCTCCTCCACTCCTCTGAAAGAGCAGCAGGGTCCCTCTCCAATCTAAAGAAGTCCTAGGTTTTTTCCCCTCCTTTCCCTGAAATTACCCGGCGACGCGTGCCTGAGTTTCTAATTGGCATGCCCATCCCTGGAGACGGCCCCCTCCCTTCCTCCTAATGAAAAGCCTCGGCCTTAATTACACTTTCCAAACGCTGATTGTTATTGACAAAACTCCTGTGGCTCGGACAAACGACGGCAGATTAGCTCCATTACAGGCAGCCCTCCAAGAAGAAAAAGAGAGGGATTTCAAATTGACAATGCAAAGTGAGGGGGAAAAAAGAGCTGCTTTCAATTTTTTTCCCCATGTACCTTCCTCTTAATTGTTTGGGCCGTTGCTCCACTTAAGACATCTAATATAACTCTATTCTGTTCCATTGTGTTGCCATCAGTGTACTTTTAATGAGGGGACAAAAGCCCAGTTATGTTACTTGAGAGAAAATGTTCATCTTTTGTCAATAGACAGGATTGCTGATGGCAGCTTGGGTAAACAGGCGGATTTGGCCTAATGCTTTTGTTTGCTTGCAAAAGGTACATAGACTGTCTAAAGCTGATAGGGTTGTAAGGTCCTAAATCAACACCTAACATCAAGACAGACAGCCGGCTCTCCATATAATGCATGCAATCTTTTTTTTTTTTAAATGTACTGAGACCAATGGATACATGATGTCAGACTCATTTTGTTCAAATACTAAATTCTTATTTTTCTTCCACTCATAATAATTTCAATTCACCATACCCCAACGCTTTGGCTCATTGTACCTATTTGATCTAGTTTTTCCACTGCATGTATTTCACTACTAAGCCAGCAGAGCTTAGATGTGGGCAGCTGCGCCTGTTGTGCAGATTTTTATTTCCAGGCTCAACAATATCTCCGTCTTCCTGATTAATCTAGAGCAGAGCGCACAGTTTCACAGTGGGGGGCCTTTCATTGCCTCTCTAATGAGAAGCTGTGATACATCATGCCTACCAGATAGCCAATTGCACTGCCCAGGCATAAGCGCGCGCACACACACACACACACACACACACACAAAACAGGACAGGAATAATAAAGCACATACTCTAAGTCCCCCCAAGGCATCTGGACAAACAACCCCTACACTCCACCAAATCTGGCCTCTGAGTGATGATGTCATGCCCTCAGTACACCACCAACTATAACAGATGATGTCACCCTAATCTCACTATGTCCCATGTCAAAATATTTCTCTGGTTTCTGTTTTATAAAGTCAGTATAAACAACATTTTCAAAAGTTATTTGATAATCAGTAAATACACTGGCATGATTTTTTAACGTTATTTTATAGTAGTAATAAAATAAAAACATTTTTATGGAGGTTGCTCCTCTCAGGAGGTAGAAAAAAACTTGCACACTCCAGTGATTTCTTTTTTTGCATAGTGATTCACTTGGTCTGAGTATGTTTCAGTGTTGTTGTGAGGCCAAAGGTGTCCGCTACGGAGGGCGGATTCATGGTGGCGATGTAGCAACATGGGGTGAAATAACTTTTACTGAGTGTTTGTTAGGCGGGTGGTGAGAGGAGCAAAATACCTTGTATTGTCCGTTTAAAAAAGGCTTTGCAGGCCTCACAAGAGGCCACCCCATAGTGATACCCTGAGGCTATATCTCCACAGACCAGGCACAGCCTCTTGGGGAGGGAGTTCAACATGTATTCGCATTTTATGGACGAGTCCTCCATGATGGTGCTGGAGCAGTCGTCATAGCGCTTGCGGCAGGTGCCGGCCCCAAGCCCGCTGGGCGTGAACATAGGTGGAGAGTCCAGGCCGTTGGAGTGGTTATTCATAGTGCTGACATAGCCACCGCTGGCGTCTGAGTTGCCGCTGGGGCTGTGGTGGCTAACTGTGTCGATAACCGAGGAGGGACTGGATGGCTCCGTCTTGATGTAGGACCCACAACTGGAGGGCATGTGCCGGTCATCAGCGGCCATTCTATTCAGCAGCCTGGGAGAGGAATGGGTTGAGAGGTGGAAGGGGGAAGGGTTGATGAGAAAGGCAAAAAGGCAAGAAGAAGATGATTAGCTGAGGTCTTCATAGGGTTGAAATGAATCTCATCAATCAGTGGAGTGACAGACATGCCGAAAGAGCAACATACTTAATTGACTTGAAGTAGAAAATCTAATCATTATATGGCATTTTTCAAATACTCTTTTTACTGCTACTATAGTTATTATGTTAAAATTTCCAGTTAATGAATTTAGACTGAAAGAGAAATTTGGCATTACTGCTAATATTAGACTACACACTTAAACTTAACACACAACTACAGTATGTGTTAAACATGTGACGATCACTTTTATTCTTAAATATTTTTCTAATGCTTTACAGTAAAATGATTACTTTCTGAATACCAATACATAGTGTCCACATACATGGAAGAAAAGATGAGACAGGTGAGTTTCATCTAGTGAAACAGTCATAATTTATTAGCTGAATGACATTTAAATGATTTGTCATGTATTTGTTTATCTCCTGTTCTCAGTACAACTGTGTGTGCTAACCTTTCTTATAAACCAGTGAACCAGTGCAGAGGCTTCTACTGTAAGTGCCTCATTAGCCACACACCAGGGCAGCTGCAAAAGCGCTTCAGTGTACAAATATACACAGCTGCAACACACACATTCCCACACACATGCCTGCACAACAACAGCACACAGACAGAAAAAAAGGAAAGTGAAAGGGAGACAGAAGGATAGAAAGAAGTAGTGCACTCAAATAACACGCAAGTGCACACACGCACTCATCAGGACGGGGGCGCATCTCCATACTTTAGAGAACTGAATGGACCTTGGCTTGTCTCCTTGAGTCAGCAGTCAACCAAAAGGAAACATGATGGCAAGATATTGACTTTTTCACTGTCTGCCTAATAACTGTATTTTGGAGTACATGCAATCTGATGCTGTAACGTGCGCAGACTAAAGTGCAGCCTTTTGGCTGTCGCCATAAAATGCACTCTGAAGCTTTCCTTGCCCATATATATCTATTTCAATCCTGCTCTATAACCTTTAACTTGAAATTGTGCCGGGAGAACGACGGGGGGAAAAACTTTGTCTGGACATGTTCAACTCATTTCTCTATCTGCACATAGGGTGGCTGCAGTGGAGGACTGGTAGAGGAGATAATAACTCAGTGTACTGGGGATGCCGTGTAGACATAGTGACCTCGTAGGGTCAAGGCGAGGTCACACACTTATATACACACATCCCCCCTTTGCATTGGGTACCATAGAGGGGTGAAAGGTCACCTGCACTTGCCTGCATTAACAAAATTGAGCCTTGCATGACTTATTCAAATTCAGACACAGGGGTTTCTACTGAGTGGCAGCTAGACAGCCCAAGTTGTGTCTTAGCACATTAGGTCCATTAGCATATTGCCAACTAATGGTAATGTTTACATACTGCATTTGACATGTCTGTTTACCATCAGCACTGAGAGAGGGGGGTGTTCCCCACTGGGCTCTATCTGCCTGATTGGACAATAGCTGTCTGTCTCAGAATGCTTCAGACGAAACACAAAACGAGAGGCCTCCGCTATACAGTATGTCCCCTATCATATCTTGTTCTGACATATGGCATCGAAACTGAACACTTAATAGTTTTCCCCCATAACCCTCTTCTGTCTGACCATTTTCTAATAACTTTTGAATTTCCATTAATGGATTATACTCTATGTGGGAAACAATTCCACTACAGCAGATGTCTATCTGGCAATGCTGTTACCAAGTTTAAGGAAATAATTCCATCTTTATCAACTTCAGTGCCGTTTGCCAACACAGTGGAAGGAGGCCACCTTAACTTTACTCCCACACAAATCGATAATCTTGTTGATAGTACTGCAGCCTTCCTGCGTAATACACTTATACCATTGCCCCTCTGAAAAGGAAGGCAGTGAAACAGAGAAGGCTAGCCCCATGGTACAGCTCGCAGCTCCGCTCCCTAAAGCAGGCATCACAAAAAATGGAAAGGAGGTGGC